GGTTCTCAGAAGTCAGAAGCCTCTAACTCTGATGAGAAGAAATATCATAAGGGAAAGGATAAGCTTGATAAGAGAAAGGTTCAGTGTTACAATTGTAATAGGTTTAGTCACTTTGCTAAAGACTTTTGGTCAAACAAGGACATGAAGTCAGAAGAAGCAAACATAGCCAGAGGAGATTGTGATGATGGACCTGTACTATTGTTGACTTCTGAATCTGATGGTGGATATTTGGTAGACTGGTGGTATATGGTAACTGACAACTCAAATAACTTAATTAGAAAGAAACAATGACTTATTGATTTTGACTCTAGAAATAGGGAAAAGATCAAATGTGCTGGTGATAAGTACCTTAATGCTGAAGGTATGGGAAATGTAAAAGTTAAAGTGAAGAATGGTAAAATTGTATTGATTAAGGATGTTTGGTATTCTTCTAGCATGAAGAGAAATCTGATGAGTGTATGTCAGTTAATTGAAAAAGGTTTCTCAGTTATACCGTGAAGAATAATTTCTTGAAGTTGTATGATTCTGATCAGAAGTTGATTATGCAATCTGAGTAGGGAAGCAACAGAACATTTAAGGTGAATGTAGAGACAATTGAAACTACATGCCTTAGTGCAGAAGGTACTGAGGTTGATAGTGAGTTGTGGCACAGGAGATTGGGGTATATGAACTTTAAAAGCTTAAGGCATTTGAGTTCTAAGAAGTTGATATATGGCATTATTAAGATTATGAAGCCTAAGAAGTCATGTGAGATATGCATGAAAGGAAAATAACCCAAATTACCATTTGTATCATAAGTATCCCCAAGAAAAAAAATCAGGCTTTAGGAGTAGTATATTCTGATGTATGAGGGCCATTTTAAGTACCTTCACTTGGAGGTAACAAATATTTTTTGTCGTTAGTGGATGAGTTCACAAGAATGACATGGGTAACACTCATCAAGTTTAAGCATGAGGTGTTTACTGAGTTTTAGAAGTTCAAGGTGAAGGCTGAAAACAGAGTGGTCAGAAGCTGAAAGTTCTCATAACTGATGGTGGATGTGAGTACAACTCTATATAGTTCCATAAGTTCTAATAGGATAATGGAATTGAGCATGAGGTGACTACTCCATACACTCCTCACCACAATGATCTTGCTGAAATGAAAAATAGAACTTTTCTTGGTATGACAAGGAGCATGCTGAAAGAGAAGAATCTGCCTCAAATCTTGTGGGGAGAAGGTGTTGCCACTTTAGCATATGTGCTCAACTGGTGTCGAACAAAGAAGTTGAAGGAAACTATTCCTTTTGAGAAGTAGACTAAATATAAGCAAAGTGTGATTCATTTCAGGGTATTTGGTTTAGTTTGTTACAAACATGTTACAGGTGCTACTAGAAAGAAGTTGGATGATAAAAGCAAAATAATGTTGCTGATTGGGTGCCACAATACAAGTGTGTATAAGCTTTACTATCCAGTCACTAATAAAGTTAAACTCAACAGAGATGACATTATGAAAGAATCAATAGCATGGGATTGGAGCAAGTCTTAATCCAACTTTGGTGTTATGTTAACACCTGAGTTAACTTCTGAAGATACTTTTGAATCTGAGGCTATAGACCATGAAAGAAGAAAGTGTAGCTCAAAACCATGAAAGAAGAACTTGAGGCTATAGAAAGAAATAAGACTTAAGAGTTTACTGAGCATCAAAGAATAAGAAAACCATCAGCATCAGATATATTTTCAAGATAAAGCTGAAGCCAAATAGATCAATTGGAAAACACAAAGCATGGTTAGTAGCTAGAGGATTTTTACATAAATATGGACTAGATTACTTTGAAGTGTTTGTGTCTGTAGCTAGAGATGAAACAATCAGATTGGTGATTGTTATAACTACAAATAGAAATTGGCCTCTGATGCATTTAGATGTGAAATATGAATTTCTGAATGGTCCATTACAAGAAGAGGTATATGTTTCACAACCTCTTGGATTTGTGAAAAAGAATCAGGAAGGGATGGTGTACATGTTACATAATGTGTTGCATGGTCTGAAACAAGCTCCTAGAGCTTGGAACTTAAAGATTGATTCATTTTTCAAGTCGCAAGGATTCAAAAATAGGAGATGGAGTATGACATTTATGTTCAACATACTTCTGAATGCAATATGATTATGATGTATCTCTATGTTGATGACATATTTCTAACACGAAGTTGTTCAGATGAGATAGTCAAATTCAAGAAGGTGCTGATGAATGATTTTGAGATGACTGATCTAGAAAACATGGTATATTTTTTAGGTATGGAGATTTTTTACTCTCAAAAGGGTATCATTTTGCATCAGCTGAAGTATAAACTTGAACTTCTGAAGATATTTGAGCTGACAAATTGCAAGACTGCAATCACACATGTTGAGACGAATCATCAGTTGGATTCTGATGTTGAGGGTGTTGATGTAAATGCTACCACTTTTAAACAGTTGATTGACTCATTGAGATATCTTTGTAACACCAGACTTGACATTTGCTATGCAGTTGGAATGGTGAGTAGGTTTATGATCAAACCAAAGTGGTCACATTACTAAGTCGTTGTTAGGATACTGAGGTACATTAAAGGGACTTTGAGGTATGGAATATTGTTCCCTTCTGGTGTAAAATTTGACTCGGAGATGATATGCTATTCAAACTCTGATTAGCGTGGAGACAAAGTTGACAAAAGAAGTACTTATGGATATTTTTTCAAATATCTGGGAAGTCCCATTTCTTGGTGCTCTAAGAAGCAACCTATGATTGCCTTGTCAACTTGTGAAACTGAGTACATTGCAGGTGCTTTGTCTGCGTGTCAAGTTGTTTGGCTTATGAGCTTATTGATGGATCTGAAGATTAAGGTGAGCAAGCCTGTGGAGTTGATGATTGACAATAAATCAGTTATAAGCCTTGGTAAGAATCTAGTGTTGCATGGAAGGAGCAAGCACGTTGACATGAAATATCATTTTCTGAGGAATCAAATTCAAAATGGAGTGCTAGAAATTGTGCTCTGTAGCACTCATAAGCAACTTGCAGATGTTCTGACTAAAACTATCAAGACTAAACATTTTATCCACTTAAGGGATGGAATTTGTATTGTAAATTTTAGTTAACTGAATATGAATTAAGGGATGATATTAGAAGTATTTCATATTCAGAAATCTTCATTATTCAGAAGTTGTTGTTAGTCAGAAGCAGTAGCTTCCGAGACTGAACTTCTATGGCTATTACTCAAAAGCAGTTGTTAGGAAGTTTTCTAGAAGCCATTCTTAGCTGTTAGCTTAGCATAGTTTAATTGTGTGTACATAGCAGTTTATTTTGTGTATTTAAACAACTCTTATAACTGAATTTCGAAGATGTTTCATAACTGAATTTTCACAATTTGAGAGTTTGTTAAATTTTCTCTCTTTTCTCTCTTCTTCCATCTTCATTTTCATTTTCAATATTGTGTTTCAACAATAAAATATAAATCGTCTATTGCTTTTCATGTCCTGTCATTCCTCCTACTTGTAATCCAACCGTTAAGAAATTTTAAAGAAAAAATAATAATTTAAAAAAAATTATATTAAATAAAAATCATTAGTTGAAATTGGAGCCGAACAGAAACCAACACAAAAAAAGAAAAAAGAGAGAATCTATACCCATCAGCATATAACATTTAACTTTCCACATCAACATTTGTTAACACTTTTAATTAAAAAAAAGACTAATAAAAGGACTTAACGGAGAAATATTTGACATAATAAGTGACTGATTTAAAATACTAGTAGAGTAAAAACATGTTTGCGAATAATTTACATGGACGTGAGTCATGTGAGAATTAATGTGCCACACCGACATTGTTAGCATTGTTAACTTAGAGCATCTTTAGCGCTAGTGAACTAATGTCTTGATTCTTTATAATTTACATTCTTTATATTTTATCAACATTGAAGAAAATCTACGTGGCACAATGGATATTCTAAAACTAGTTTACATGCTCTATACAACCAACGTACTCTAACTCATTCTTTGACATAAAGTGTGTGTGGGGTGGATCAAATTTAGATTCTTTATAAATAATTACTATTGAACTAAAAATTACTTAAATTAATTTTAAATTGTTTAAATCCTACATGTCAATTTGAACTCACTTAAAACAAGTTCACCTATTTTAGTTGCTTGCATTAAAGATGCTCTTACATAAACTAGCATATAAATTGTTTGATATAGACGAGGACTAAATTAAAATATTAACAGAGTTAAGAGTGAAAGATATGTTTGCGATAGTATATGTTTGGATCGATGGAAAAAGATGAAATAAAATGATTAATTGTATTGTTTGATTTTTAAAAAAAATAAAATGAAATGTGATAGAATTTATTCCATCTAAATTAGAGTGTATCAAATAGAATTGAATAAATAAATAATACAATTTCAATTTTATCTTTCAAAATTTTATATTAACCATATTAAAAGGTAAAAATGAAATAAAAAAACTATAATACTTTCCGCCCCGTCTAATTTTTAAACAATTGAATGAGATTTTAATTTTGCTCCGTCGTAAAATATCCGAATAATAAAATGAAATTTATATTCTGTTCTATTGCATTCTATTTCGTTTCAAAGAGGCAAAAACCAATTTGATGAAACATCGTCAAATGGAAAAGGGATGAAAAGAACAAGGAGTTAAGTAAAATAAAACATCATAAAATACATTTTCTACACATTTCATTTATCTCCTACCATTAGTCTAGATACTCCTAACATAATTTAAGAACTACTAATGTATGATTTTGTTTAGACAAAGTTGGTGATCCACTCTAATAGTCGCTCTTGTTTATTAGATCCTCTACGGAAAACAAAAAGCATAACTTGCAATATGCAATACATATTCCAAAACCAAAATACTGGTATGAAGCTTGTGGCATCATCCAAGTTGAAAGGCAAAATGTTACATAAAAAGTAGTCTCAAAATTTTAGATATTAGGAAAAATAACTTCCAGAGGCCATACAAATGGATTTAAGTCCTAGAGCAGATCAAAACAGCCAAGTAAAAGTCAGGTTCGTCCACAAACTCAGCCACATCAAAGGAATAAGCAGCTGCAACACTTTGTAAATGTGCTTTGTCGGGAAGATCAGAAACTACTACTTCCGGGTACTGTTGTCGTTGCTGTTTCAGTATTTCTCTCCCTTGAGGATGGCTGACAATCACCCTTCCACCTGCACGTCAAAACCAAAATTAAAAAGAAGAAATCATGTTGCAAGCACGAAAGAAGCACATTACCCATGAATGAAGTTCATATCATACATAATGATCCGTTTTAAACTATTTTAACTACAATTTAGGCTGCGACATCAAGGTTTATTGTCTCCACGGTTGCTATTGAGTAGACTAGACTAGCCACAACTCTCTACAATGTAAAGAGTTCAGTGCGACCTTGTGTTATGATTGATTTTCTAATCTATTGATGAGTTCTACTTAAATAAGTTTAAATCTACGGAAAAAAAAAAGTCTTTGTAAACTTGTACAATCTATGAACAAGTTCAATAAGAGGTTGTGGAAATAATAGGTAGGAGCTAATTTCAACTAAAACTTTTAGTTAAAAAAGTTAATTCAAAATTCTTTCAATCTGATTCTTGAAATGGTTACCAAAACTGGTCTAATATATAAAGTTGCAAACAAGCTTTATCACTTCCTCTACCATCCAAATGTTGTTAAATGGTAGCTATAGTGTCATAGCATAACAGAATTTAAACAAATCTTGTTCAGCGATATAACATTTAGTATAGTACAAAATGTTCGTAAAAAAAGCAGCTGTAACATTAGTACTGTATCAAACAACAACAACAACCAAGCCTTATCCCATTAAGTAGGAACGGCTACATGGATCAATTTTTCCCATAATATTTTATCCAAGATCATGTTACTATCCAAATTAGTAATCTCAAGATCTTTCTTAATAACTTCCCTTATAGTCTTTCTAGGTTTTACTCTTCCTTTAGTTGTTTGACTTCTCTCCATCTGATCTACTTTCCATCCCACTGAATCTACATGTCTTCTCTTTACATGCTCAAACCACCTAAATCTAATTTTCACCGTCTTTTCAACTATAGGTGCTACCCCAACACTCTCTCTAGTATATTCATAGTTTTATCCTGTCTAGTCTTATCACACAAAACTTGAACAGAATTTGTACAAAAATGCTATTTTCCGATTGAGTTGTTACAGCACTTGTAATATATAATATGCAATGAAATGGATATAAACAATAGAGTATTCGATGAGCAAAAACTCACCAGGTGAACACTTTGGAGCCAAAGAGGCAAGAATATCCTCAAGTTTGAATGGCAAAGCAGGCAAAAAGTAAAGAAACACAGCATCAAAAGGAGCCCATGTGTCAGGAACAATAGTAACCTCTCCTTGCCAACACATAACATTATCATATTTCTCAACAAGAAGAGCCAATATCAAAAGCGAGTCATGAAGAACAACCAAAGACTTGAATTTAGAACAACCAACCAAAGAATCAACAAACTCTTCAGAAGCAGTCGAAACCAAAACCTTTGAATTCTCGTCAATTTTACCAGATGCTATAATGCGGTCAGTGCTTGGTCCAGTATAGTCAAGAACTGACCAATCCTTGTCGACGAAGTCTTCAACTGCGACATAAGACGTGTCTTCTTCAGGGATTGAAACTGGTTCGGTGGCTTTAAGAGAAGTGGAAAAATTGAATTTTGGTTTGAGGGAATGGTGGAAATTGAGATGAGGTTTGGTTTGAAAACGGGGATTGTGGAATTTGCATGGTGGTGGTGGTGTGAGAATGAAGGAACCTAAAGAAGATGAATTCATGGTTGAAATGAGAGGGTTTTCAAAGATAATTGGGAAATTTTAAAAAAATGAAACCCTAATTTTTGGGTGTGGTAATAGAAATAGAAGTTAAAGGTTATTGTACAGTTTGAAAAGTGGGTTATGGCAGTAGTGGTGGGTGAAGCAGAGGATTATGGAGTTTAAACTGGATAGGTTGGAATGTTTATCAACACCACTTTTAAACTTGAAATTTCATAGACATGCACTAAAAAAGTTTTCCAATGTCTTCAAATTTAAAACCAACAAATGTCATATAATTTTTATTTAATATTTTTATAATTCAAAACAATATAAGTTGTTATTGATTGACTTATTTAGATGATGTATCATTTATTTTTTTCTTCTTAAGCTTATCATATATTTATAAATAAATTAAATGTTTTTTTAATCTATAAAATTATCAATTTTTTTTGTCTATAAAAACAAAAATGACATTTTATTGTTTGTTTAAAATTTTATGCGTGCGAATGTAAATTTGGTATTTTTTAAAGGCAAAATTATGTAAGCTGACATTTAAATTTGGTATATTTTTAAAGGTAAAATGACTTGTTATTCTTGGTCTATTGCCATGCTTAAGAATATTGAGAAAGTTGCTAGAAATTTCATATGGGGTGGGACAATTAACAAGAAGAAATTTGTCTTAGTTGTTCGAAATAAATGTGCAAGCCCCGAATCCATCGAGGCTTAGGATTGAGATCTATTCTTAAACTCAATGAGGTAGCTAATTTGAAGTTAGGATGAGATTTCTATTCTTTTCGGAAAGGATGTTTGGTGTAGCCCCCTCTCATCTTAGAAACAAATCAATATATACTTAGAAATTATGGTATTCCTTTTTTTTCTTTTTTTCTAAACTGACAGACTTTGTTGCTGATGGTGCCTAGTTTTTTTTCGAACTCTTTATTTCCCTTCCCGTAACAAAGAATTCACCAAGGTCTCTTACTCAATATAGACCATGATAACACTATCATCTAGCTTATTTCCCCCTTTGATACTCTTCTTTTGAAAAATGCTTATCAGGTAGTTTCCCTCAATCCCCTTAATTTGGACTAAAATCATCTAGTGTAAAGATATTACACCTTCGAAATCAATGTTCATTTAAAAATTGTCTGGAGCGTATATGTACTGTATCTAAAAGTTGAATCTGAATGAGTATCAGAATGGTATCTGTATCTGAAGCGTATCTGAACTGTATCAAAAGTTGAATATTTGTTAATGGTAGATGTTAATCTTATCCTGAAAAGGGTGAAATGTTAGCTAAAATGCAAAGTCATGTTGAATGAAATGTATGATGTGATGCATTTGCTTTATCAATGTTTATGATATAAGGATGTAATGTATGCGTATATGAGCTAATTAGATGCATTGTAGTTGGATTGGGGAAAATAAATCCCTGACTGCTGTTGAGGATATGTAAGTCTTCATGCTTTGAAGTCGAAGTATTGATGAATTTCAGTTTTGAGAAATAAACTCCGTTGTAAGGGAAATGTCATGTGCTGCTTGTAAAATTCTATTTGCGGAATCCTGAGAAATTTGACGACTTCTACTGGGGATCAATAATTTGAAATTTTGTTCCGCTGGGGATTTAAACGATGTGCTGCAGGGGATTACCTATGGAATAGCCTAGAGATATTTTCCTATCCTTTCAACCCATCAGTAATTGCCTCTTTTCATTTTGTTTATTTGTAAACAGTAATTATGTTCAAATGCATATGCTCAACAATGAATCATTTGACGTTTTTGTAAACAAAACAAGCGTAAAGAAAAGACAAATAGTTTTTGCACTTTCAAAGGAATATTTTGTATTGACTTTGAATAAGTATTTTTGTACAAGGAGACAAATATTCTAGTAAGAGAATGTTGTCGTGAAAAAAGAGAAATTTGATACAAAGAAAAGATAGTTATGTGTAATAATCCCATGGGGTTTCCATCCTACTATAGCCTTCGTATCTCCGAGCGTCTTGTCTATTTGTTGCCATGTCCGAAGGTGATTGAATTTGATCAGAACCTCTGAGTTTGTCAGTGGAAGCCAAAGTTTATCCATAAAGTGATCCAACGGGACATAGCCGTACGCCTTTATTCCCTAACTTTTGCATGGACCGCCCTTTCGGGTTTTCAGTCCACCGGAAAACCCTTTTTTGTCCAAGTCGCTCTTTCGGGTTTTCAACTTGCCGGGTGTACAAATTTTTTTGTTTTATCCCTAACTTTTGCCCGAACCTTTTGGTTCGCTGGGATGCCCTTATTTTGCCTAGGTGTGTCAACCTAGCGGGTCTCTTATGCGTAGTATCTTTTGACTATGTCTGCGTTCACAGGGTGTGGCAGGTCGTCACCATCCATGGTGGTCAAGATCATTACCCCACCAGAGAATATGTTTTTGATTACAAATGGTCCTTCATAGATAGAAGTCCATTTTCCCCTGGGATCACCTTGTGGCAAGATGATGCGTTTGATCACTAGATCCCCAAATTGATATACTTGGCGTCTGACTTTCTTGTTGAAAGCCTTGATCATATGTTTTTGATACATTTGACCATGGAAAACAACAATAAGTCTCTTCTCATCAATCAAGCTCAGTTGATCAAGTCGAGTCTGGATCCAATCGTCTTTGTTCAGCCCTGCATCTTTCATAATCCTCAGAGAGGGGATCTGAACCTCGATAGGCAAGACAACCTCCATGCCGTAAACCAAAGAATAGGGTGTTGCCCTGGTTGATGTGCGAGCCGTGGTACGATATCCGTGGAGAGCGAATGGTAACATCTCATGTCAGTCTTTGTATGTGACTGTCATTTTTTGTATGATCTTTTTAATGTTTTTATTTGCAGCTTCGACAACACCATTCATCTTTGGTCGATAGGGAGAAGAATTGTGATGCTGAATCTTGAATTGCTCGCACAAGGCGGTGATCATAGTGTTGTTGAGATTTATACCATTGTCAGTGATGATTCTTTCCGGGATACCGTACCAGCAGATAAGGTTTTGCTTGATAAAGCGGGCAACAACGTTCTTGGTGACGGAAGCGAAGGAAGCTGCCTCCACCCACTTTGTAAAATAGTCAATGGCCACTAGGATGAAGCGGTGTCCATTAGAGGTTGTCGGCTTGATTTCCCCAATCATATCTATTCCCCACATAGCAAAGGGCCACGGAGCCGTCAGGACATTCAGAGGAACCGGAGGCACGTGCACCTTATCTGCATAAATCTGGCATTTATGGCAGGTTCGAGAGTGTTGATAATAATCTTCTTCCAGGGTAGACCAGTAATAGTCTGCCCGTGGGATTTTCTTTGCCATCGTATGCCCGCTAGAATGGGTACCAAAAGTGCCTTCATGCAATTCAGCCATGATCCTTTCAACTTCAACCTTATCTATGCACCGAAGTAACACAGAGTCATAATTGCGTTTATACAGGATGTCGTTACTAAGGAAGAACTTAGCAGAGAATCTCCTTAAGAATTTTTTGTCATTGATTGAAGCTTCTTTTGGATATTCTTGAGCCTCGAGATACCTCTTGACTTCGTGAAACCAAGGTTGGTCCACTACTTCTTCAGTATTAATCTCGTGATAGTGTGATGGTTCATCCATTCGTTCAACGGTGATCTTGGGAGCCTCATTATTCCAATTAAGTTTAAACATAGATGACATTGTGGCTAGTGCGTCTGCTAGCTGATTTTCTTCTTGCGGGAAATGCTCGAAGGTAATCTTCTCAAAATGTGGTAGCAATGTCAAAACATGTTCTTTATAAGGAATAAGGTTAGGGTGTTTGGTGTCCCATTCCCCTTTGATCTGGATGATAACCAAAGCTGAGTCTCCGAAAACATCCAAGGATTTGATCCTCAAGTCTATGGCAGCTCTGAGACCGAAGATGCACGCTTCATATTCCGCCATGTTGTTTGTGCAATTGAAGCAAAGTCTGGCAGTAAAGGGAGTATGACATCCTTCCGGAGATATGAGTGCAACATCAATACCATTTCCAAGTGCGTTGGATGCCCCATCAAAGAACAGGGTCCATCAGGATCCTTGTTCAGGTCCGTCATATGGCCTGAATTCCTTACAGTTGTCTAATGTCATGATGTCTTCATCTGGAAATTCGAACTTCATGGACTGGTAGTCTTCTACAACTTGGTGAGCAAGGTGATCGGCTAATACACTGCCCTTTATAGGTTTTTGGGTAGTAGACTGTATGTCATATTCTGTCAGGATCATCTGCCATCTTGCTGTTCTCCCAGAAAGAACAGGCTTCTCGAAGATATATTTTATCGGATCCATTTTAGATATCAACAAGGTAGTATGAGTCAGCATATACTGTCTTAGCCGGCGAGCAGCCCATGCCAGAGCGCAGCAAGTTTTCTCAAGCAGTTAATATCTGGTTTCACAGTCGGTAAACTTTTTGCTCAGGTAGTAAATAACGTGCTCTTTTCGGCCAGACTCGTGATGCTGCCCCAATACACACCCTATTGAGTTTTCTAAAACAGTCAGATACATAATCAATGGTCTTCCCTTGACTGGTGGCATCAACACAGAAGGCTCTTGTAAATATTCTTTGATTTTGTCAAAAGCAATTTGACATTCGTCATTCCACTTGACTACTTGATCTTTCTTCAATAGTTTAAAGATTGGCTCACAAGTAGTTGTCAGGTGAGAAATGAATCTGGCAATATAGTTCAAACATCCCAAGAATCCTCTGACTTCCTTCTCAGTACGAGGAGTATGCATCTCATGTATTGCTTTAACTTTGGCAGGATCGACCTTGATACCTTTGTTGCTGACGACAAAGCCTAAGAGTTTACCAGATCGTACCCCAAACGTGCATTTGTTTGGATTCAACCTCAGCTTGTACTTCTTTAGTCTATCAAACAGTTTATGTAAGTCATCAAGATGCTCTTCTTCTGTTTGAGATTTGGCTATCATATCGTCCACGTAGACCTCTATTTCGTGATGTATCATGTCGTGAAATAGAGCTACCATGGCACGCTGATAGGTTTCCCCAG